AAAGTCGAAAGACACACAGGCTGCGTGCGTCTCTATTTTGTAGACATGTCAACAGTATTTTCAAATGTTCCTTGGGTTAAAACAATAAGAAAATATTTCCGGCTTACCTGGCGATTTTTTTTTTGCTACAGTCCTCAGTTCCTGCCAATGTTCCATTTTCAACACTACTGAAATATTTTAGCCTGGGAAGAATACAGCTGACGTCGGCGCCTACCGACCCATCAGGCTCCTGTGCGGACTCTCAAAGATGTTTAAAAAACTTCTGCTGGCCCGGCTCTTTGAACTTGAAGAATTTGTCAAAGCCGTGCCTAATTAATAGTTTGAATTTATTTACCGTGGCGTGAAACCGGGATAATATTACCATAGTCACTCACCTTTTGAAAAGGTGGGAAGCTGGGAAGCAAATAGTGAATTTATTTACCGTGGAATGAAACCTGGATAATATTATCATAGTCACTCACCTTTTGAAAATATAGGAAACTGGGAAGCAAATAGTGAATTTATTTACCGTGGAGTGAAACCTGGTATAGAATATCATAGTCGCGTACCTTTTGGTGGAGCAAGTAGTGAAGTTATCTACCGTTATGTGAAACCTGGATAATATTCTCACAATCGCTTGAAAACCGGGATAATATTATCATAGGCACTCATCTTTTGAAAAGGGGTGAAACTGGGAAGCAAATAGTGAATTTATTTACCGTGGAGTGAAACCTGGTAAAGAATATCATAGTCGCGTACCTTTTGGTGGAGAAATTAGTGAATTTATCTACCGTTATGTGAAACCTGGATAATATTATCATAATCGCTTACCCTTTTTATTGAAGGTGAAAAAACTGAAAATGCCATATCTTTGTCAAAAAATGCCCAATTTTGTCGAAATTTGTATTTTTAGATATGGTTTGACCTCATTAAACCTGTCCATTAAACCTGAAAATATCAAATATCAAAAAATATATGGAAAACCTGTGAAAGAAAGAATTAATTTACCGTGGAGGGAAACCTGGTAAAGAATATCATAGTCGCGTACCTTTTGGTGGAGCAAGTAGTGAAGTTATCTACCGTAGCTCTCCCAAATAGCCAATTCCCGGCAGGCACATTCGCTCAACCTCTCCAACACACTCGGCCAACTCAGGTAGTCAAACGCCCCTTTAAAATCAACAAAGATGCCTAGAATATGCCTGGAGTTGCTGGACTCAACGGAGTCGCTTACAAATCTCCACGCATCTTCCACACATCTGCCCTTCCTAAAACCAAATTACAGCAGCAGCAACAGCAGAAACATCATCAGCAACAGTAAGAACAGCGGCAGCAGCAGCAGTAACAGCTTAAATCACCACCAACAACAGAATCATGAGTAGCCGCAAATACAACAAACCAGATACTCAAATATACAAGCCGCCAATGGGAAGCTCAACAGCGCCAAGTATAACCAAACCTGAATTGCCGTTTTCATAGACAAAAACAAGAGGAGAATGCATCAAAATGACAAAAACAACGACAAGACGTGGCTATTCCAACACAAAAATAATCAGCAGCGTCACCAGTAAAATGACCTACACCTAAATTATAATTGACCAGGTCCCACCACTGCGGCAAAAACAAGGCACTCCTGGAGAAAGTAACCTGTACTCAATGCCTGCAACAGAAGCTCCAACAGGAGATGAAACAACTGGAGCAACCAAGCCAAAAAACATCGACATCAAGAAGCAGTAAATAAATCGCAGCAAGAAAGTCTACAATAACATCAGCGACAACACAGCCTTCAGTAATGCTAGCAAGGAAAGTCACTCAGGAAAAGAAAAGGGGAAGAATGCTAAGTCAAGCAATCAGGCATATTGCACTAAAACCAATACAAATTGACTCCCTCCTGGCAGGAAGTGCTGTTGAAGCTGCTGCGTGTAGGGTGGCCTTTGAAGACGTTTTGGCTCGTATGGCTACATAAGGAGGAATTCTGCTTCCGGGTTTTTGTGTGACGATGGGGACTTCACGAACCGGCTACTGACTGAGCAAAAAAAAAATCGCCAGGTAAGCCGGAAATATTTTCTTATTGTTTTAACCCTAGGAACATTTGAAAATACTGTTGACATGTTTACAAAATAGTGACGCACGCAGACTGTGTGTCTTTCGACTTTCCATTATATGTTATATGGGTGGGGGCACACTTCCGAAACGCAAATTCAAAGTGATGATCTTTTTCTTTTCTTTTATTTTTTTGCTCACACATTTCATTTTGGCAGTCGGCGGCCCGAGTTTGTCAGTCCGCGGCCCACTTCGGTCAAAGGCTTCAATGTCGATGAAGACGGCTGAGCAGTGCTGGCGCTCCTCGAGGCCTCTCAGAATGAATTGTGATAGTCGGGAAAGTTGCTGTTTCGTGATATGTTTACGCCTGAACCCAAACTATTACTTAGGCACGGCTTTGACAAATTCCTCAAGTTCAAAGAGCCGGGCTAGCAGAAGTTTTTTAAACATCTTTGAGAGTCCGCACAGCAGTCTGATGGGTCGGTAGGCGCCGACGTCAGCTGTATTCTTCCCAGGCTAAAGTATTTCAGTAGTGTTGAAAATGGAACATTGGCAGGAACTGAGGACTGTAGCAAAAAAAAAATTGCCAGGTAAGCCGGAAATATTTTCTTATTGTTTTAACCCTAGGAAAATTTGAAAATAGTGTTGACATGTCTGCAAAATAGAAAGACATCATGGTTTTATCAGTGCCAGAGTTAAAGCGACAATTAGGTTAGGTTAGGTTATATCGGCTGTCAGCCCGGTAGGCTGACACACTTAGGCCATATTTGGCCCGTTGTGTTACCGAAAAAGGGGATCTAGGGATTTCCTCCTGCAGTCGTACCTTCAGCATTCCAACATATATTTAAATATTTGCCCAACCCGATGCGTTTATGAATTTCGCTATCTTGGCCAGTCTCATATATCGGAGCTCCGATAAACTATTTAGGGAGTAGTTTCCCAGGATTGCCAGCCTTTTCCTGGCAAGTGCTGGGCAGAGGCAGAAAAAGTGTTCCGGAGATTCAACTTCTTCCTCCTCTTTGCAGCTTCTGCAAAAATCATTGTGTGGCACCTGGAGTCTATTGGCATGAATGCCAACCAGCCAGTGCCCAGTTAGAGCCCGGATCACTGCTCTTTGCTGCGTTTGGAGTCAATGATTGGCCATGTCTGGTGTGCTATGCGGGCACAGGTGGCATTTTGCCATTTTTCGCATGACCTGCGCCTATGCTCCTCCCTGATATTGAGCTTGCAGGTAGCTAGAGGCATACTAATACCTTCCTTGTCCGTGAGGAGCGGCAGTATGGTACCTTTCCTAGCTAACTCATCGGCTTTGCAGTTGCCTTCAATGTCCTGGTGGCCAACTCGTGTAGAGATTTGCGGCAGCTTGTTACTGATATCGGATTGGAAGATATCGAGCTGATTGATTTGATTGCTGCCTGACTATCAATATATATATTTATATAGCCAGGGCTGACTTTGAGCCTATCTAGGCAGTCTAAAGCTTCCTTTATGGCCAGTACCTCAGCTTGAAAAACACTACAGTGTGTTGGAAGGCTGAAGGATAACTGTAAATTGAGTTGTTCGGAGTAGACCCCTCCGCCTACACGGTTGTCTAGCTTCGAGCCATCTGTAAAGAAGGTTATGGTTGCCGGTGGACCGGGGGTGCCATGAACCCATTCTTCCCTTTGAGGGAAGTATGTGTTGAAGGGTGTTCCCAATTGTGTTACTGGCACGCAGTAATCTGTTTTAGAAGGGATGGTCGGTTTCCCTTCTAAGATAGAGGCATGACCAGTGCTCTGAGTAGTCCAGGCGAGGGATTCTCTGAGTCTTATGGCCGTAAGTGTTGCATTTTCCATTCCTTGTCTTTCCAGACACGGAATGTCCAGGATAGCGTCAAGTGCCTCACTAGGTGTGGTATGAAGCGCTCCTGATATGCATAGTTCAGCCATACGCTGAACTTTGTTTAGTTTAGAAAGGGTGGTTTTCTTTTTAAGACAGGGCCACCATACTGCGACGCCATACAGAAGTATAGGTCTGACTATGGATGTGTATAACCATCGAACGATATTTGGGGATATACCCCATTTCAGTCCAATGGATTTCCTACACGTATATAGGGCGACTGTTGCCTTTTTAACCCGTGTTTGGATATTGAGGTTCCAGTCTAGTTTCCTGTCTAGTGTCAATCCTAGGAAATTGGCACTGTCTTTGAAAAGTAGATTTACATTATTTAGTCTGGGTGGGACAAGAGAAGGGACCTTGTAATTCCTTGTAAAAAGAACAAGTTCCGTTTTATTTGGGTTTACCCCTAATCCACTCTCTTGAGCCCAGCATGACAGTATTTTTAGTTTACTAGTCATGAGGTCACAAAGAGTTTGTGGGTATTTTCCCCTGAAAATTACTGCAACGTCATCTGCATATGCAACCATTTTGCAGCCGCCCCCTCCATGTCCCGCAGCAATTTGTTAATTGCTATGTTCCATAGTAGGGGTGACAGGACGCCTCCTTGTGGCGTACCTCTGCTTACGAACCTGGAGAGAGTTGACGACCCTAGTGTGGATGTCACAGTCCTGCAAGTAAGCAATTGACTGATCAGGCCCACTAGACCGGTGTCAATCCCCAGGTTCAGCAGAGCTCCAGTTATGGCTGCCGGAGTGACGTTGTTAAAAGCGCCCTCAATGTCGAGAAACGCTATAAGGGTGTACTCTTTATAAAGTAAAGATTTCTCTATAATAGAGACCACAGAGTGGAGGGCAGTATCTGTGGATCTGCCCTTCCTGTAGGCATGTTGAGACTCCGACATAAGCCTGGGGTCAATGAATGCTGTGAGATGGAGTCTTATAAGTCGTTCCAAGGTCTTTAGCAAGAAAGATGACAGACTGATGGGTCTGAAATCTTTGGCGCTGGTGTGCGATGGCTTCCCAGCTTTGGGTATGAAGGCTATTTTTGACTGGAGCCATGTCGGTGGGATGCGACCAGTCTTCAGAATCTTCCCGAAGATTTCATGTAGCCAGTTTCCTTCTGTCATCCTTCTTCAGATAACCAAGTGCAGGTGTGGTTTTTGATAAAACTTTCCTAAGCCTTGCAGCTTCTGTAGTTGAATCGATCTCCGTACAGAAATCTCTCCAAGATTTCCTTTTTTCTCGTCTGGTGGCTATTTTATATTCAGCCAGACTTAATTTGTATTTTGACCATTGCTGGTCGTTATTTTCCGCTTTCGCTGCATTAAAGAGAGACCTGCAACTTTGTCTAAGGACATTTAGTTGAGGTGTCCACCATGGTGGTTTCTTCTTGTGCACAGGCTTACTGATAGGACAAGCTGCCTTAAAAGCCTTATTGCATGCAGAAGTAAAAGTCTCTGTCAGATTGCAGAGATGAGCTAAGTTGTCCGGGCCTTTCGGTGGGTGTTCCGAAAGGGTTCGGTCAAGTTTGGCTTTGAAAATTTTCCAGTTCGCCTTCTTTTGATTTATGAAGTGAACTGGTTCTGGATGGCTCGCGAGGAGCTCAAATTCAATGTATCTGTGATCAGAGAAGGAGTGATCGTCAGACACTCTCCAACCTATTAGCTGATCGCTCATAGATTGTGAGATAAGGGTCAGATCAATGACCTCTCTTCTATTTTTAATAATAAAAGTGGGATCATTTCCCGTATTACATACTAAGAGGTTAGTACTAAGAATGTAGGATAAGAGTGACTCACCCCTCGGATTTGTGCCCGTACTCCCCCACTGGGTGTGGTGAGCATTGGCGTCACAGCCTATGATTAGGCCAATGCTGTGCTTCTCGCACTCCTGGACGAGGGATCTTGTAGTCTCGTCTGGTGGTGGGCCGGCGCTGTCGTAGGCCATGTAGACAGACAGTAGCCTTACCGAAGCTGACTGGAGCTCCAGGCTTACCGCTGTGTTGTCATCATTACTAAAATTATGGAGCAGAAAAATATTTAGATGTTTTTTCGCGAGGATGCAGGTACGTTTTTTACCTTCGTTTCCAGCTACTAATAGCTTATAATTTTTATTTCCTAGTCCGCAAACCTTGCCTCCAATCACCCAAGGTTCTTGGACTAGTACTATATCGTCTCCGCCTCCAGCCAGGCGGAGCATCAGAGCAGCGGATGCTGCTTTACTGTGGTGAAGGTTTATCTGCCGTAGTCTCAAGGACATCCGGAGATTTCCCCCTCACCACCGTGTTGTTGCTGTCGTCCTCGTCCGACAGCGTAAAATCGTCCTCGTCTAACTCGTGACACATGGCCTCAAGGCCCCGAGTCAGAGTCGACGTGTCCGACGTGTAGCCAGGCTCCAGCTCCTCATCGGTTGCTCCGATCTCCGCAGGAGGAGCCTGTTCGGCTGTGTTTTTGCAGACAGCAGGGTCTCCTCCGGCCGGCGCATCCGATTTGTATACCTTTACGGTAATGGAGCCGAAGCCGAAGTTTAGCTCGCCCTTGGCGGCTTCAATTGGGGCCAGCGATTCCTTGTTAAGAATCAGCACTGCCTGATTTGTTGGCCCCTCGGTGGCCTCAATCTTCACCACCCTCCAGTCTTGGGTGGGGAGAGAGGGGTTGCAGAGTTGCAGAAGGTTAAGCACTTGGTCCGGCTCCTTTAGGGAAGCCGGGATCCAGATGCGTGCACGAGGTCTGCTCGGGACTTCGCTCCAGTCGACAGCGACCAGCTTCGCCCCGGGGTAGACCTCACCAAGTTCTGCTACAGCAGCTTTGTAAAGCTCTACTGAGCGAGCGTCTTGGCAGGCGATAACCTTTGTGTTACCCTGGTACCACCCAGCATCCCTGCATACAGGTGGTGGCCCAGGTGCCTTGCTTAACAGCTTCAGGCATTGGACAGCGAGGGCTCCTTCCACCCATTTCCACTGATTTCTAGGGATTCTGCCGTCCTTGCTTCCCTTGTCAAGGATCCCTATAAGGATTCTTTCCTTGGCAATGTCAGCAAAGGACCTTCCCTGTTGTACCTTGGCCCGTTTTGCGACGGGACCGTGTGCTTCCTGTGAGCGCTGCCTTTTAGCCTGGCTCTGCTCTTTTTGGGGTGGAGCCTCACAGAAGTTTGGCAGCACCTTCTTAGCCCAAATCACTTTATTTTGCCATTCGGCTGGTGGATTTGGCTGAGTGTTCGCACTTTGCCGCTTCAGAATGCTTGCAGCATTTCTGCGGTCGGCATAGCTGAACCTTTTAGCCGCCGCGCTGGAAGTTGGCAAATCGCCCTTCGCACCCGCTCCGGCTGGCAGGTTGGGTGCACTAGTGCTTTCCTTCCCTGCCACGGAGTCGGACGGGTCGGGGTTTTTACCAGCTGCACCCTCGCCGCTGGCTTGACAAACAGGCTTTTCCGCCACTTTTGTCATGGTGCCGCTTTGGCCAGGCTTACGAGCCACTGCCTCCGCTACATGTTTGGGATTGCTCCCTACCGGTTTTGGGAGAGTACCGGACTCCTTTTGTGGTTTTTTGGAATACATTTGGATTCCCACGAGCTGCGGAGAAAAGATGTCCACCTGTACAGAGATCCGCGATGTGCAGGTAAGGCTGATTAATATCGGAGGTCGCCAGGTATCCGATATGCTCCGTGTAAGACTGGGTTATTTTAGGGCCCCCAGCCTGGCTGACTATCGGCACGGGTCGCATGACACCTTAGTCCGGCCCTTTACCTCGAACCATGACTCGGTCCTTTCCCAGCGACAAGACTATGGATGCAGTTTATGTCGGAGGTTCAGGGCACGAGTCTTAGCTAGCATCGGTACCTAGCAGGACCACTGTGATGCTATTTCCAGTCGGCACCCTCGTGGAGGGTTCAGTTGAGGAATTTTTGCCGACCAATTAAATGCGACAATTAAATGCAGCTGCCGTCAGGCGCGAAGACATCAAGTTAGTGTCAAATATGTTTTAACCTAGATTTTTGTGCTCATATATGACTTATAATTTTTTTTTTTCTTTAAGTGGGATTTCATCGCTTTGCTTTACTAATAGTGGAGAGGCATTATATATGATGTCGTCTTCAGAATTGCAACAAATAGCTTTGGCCACCTCGACAGTTGTACAATGCCCATTGCATTGTTAAGGTCGAACCTCTCGGGAATGAAGACAATGAGTGTACCATACCAGCCAATGATGACGATATTAGCCATAAGGAAGTCGATGCAATTCATGATAGTGTCGAAAATAATACTAGTTCAAGCATACTTGAGCAGTCAATTGCTAAGCAGCGCGCAATGCCGACAGAACATACCCTCCCGCTTACAAATGGCATAAATATCGGAAGTTCACCTAATCGCGCCAACGAGACCATCACAAGTTCTATAGGCGACATCACTGTCGACTCTGTGCGCGATCACTTAAACACGACTCGGTCGTCGTCAAATCGGTAATAACGAGCATTTCACACGAAAACGTCAACGGTGAAAACGAAACTAGGAAGACTAAAACAACAACCCATGAAGAAAGTCAATTTTATGCACTTACATTTGAATGAATGCTATAAAATCGCCCCTAACTAACTTTAAAGGAACGTTCAATTCAATATTAACACATTATATACAAAAGAATATTTAATTATACTACTTACATTTTATACTAAACTTTTGTTATAAATAAGACATTTCGAGACACGCTGAAGAATTCAGAGATTTTAGAAAGTTTTGGCAAAGGTTACAAGAATTTCCATATCACTTTTCTATTAAATTTTGTAATTAAACTATAACTTTAAGCCAGACGCTAGCAAGCATACAAGAATTACAAGAATTACACATATCGACAAAAAGTTACAATACAAAATAACTTTGCTTTGTGTTATAAAACATTTTGTTACGCATTTTATAAGAGTATTAAAGAATTAAAAGTATAACTAATATACGGAAGCTTTCGAACACTATATGAATAATTTGCCGGTTCTCATATCAACATTTATTTTCCACGCTTCCGAATTGGTTTTGTACTGTTCAAGCAATAAGTGTTGAATAAAAATCAGCAATTCACATTCTACAAGTAAACTTTAATATCATGCTCTTAAAACAGGGTGTCACCCCGGAGTTGAATTGAGATTGAGATGAGCATTGAGACTGATGACAACGTAAAATAGTCGCCTATTATCCTACTTTATTTATCCATTACTTTAATCACAGCAAATTTTGAATATGGCTGAACGTTCCACCTCTGCAATTTCCGATATGGTATGTGCCACACGAAACTCTCTGTCAGTTGCGTTCATTGTTGTATTTGGGTACATATCGATAGTAAAATGAAAGGGCCACATTGCCATACAAAAGAAACAGGTTGGCAGGGTTAGCGAGACCACAATTTGATGTGACCTCATTTTCCACAAGGTGGCGTTTTGTGGGCTAGGGAGAAGTTGCCACATGATAAAGAACTAAAAGTGAGGTAGATCAGTTCTTGGCGGTTAATTTTTCATTTGGTGCGATCGAGGTTTTAAATTTCTATGGAAGTGCATAAACCCTCCATCATATTTTGTTTACTTTGTGGAATAGAATTTGACGTGTGTTCATATAAATAATGTTTAAATTGTGCTAATTTTGTGTTAAGTGTTTAGGTGGCCGACGGCAGGTCATGCCATTTTTTTTTCTGCACTGTTCCCAATGGAACACTGGCAGCAACTGACGACTATAAAAAACAGTCGCCAGCTAGCCGTCATTTATTTATCCATTACTACAATCTCAGCAGCCTTTAAGAATAGTGTTGATAGTTTAACAAAATGTAAAAACAATTCTGACAAAAAGTACAGAATTGTGTGTCTGGTGTGTTTCTTCTTTCTACTCAAATATAAAAGCTGGGAAGCTCAACAGCGCCAAGTATGACAAAAACAACGACAAGAATAGCCACGCCAACACAAAAATAATCGGCAGCGTCACCACCTGCACCTAAATTGTAATTGACCAGGTCTCACCACTGCGGCAAAAACTACACTCCTGGAGTATGCAACCTGTACTCAACGCCTGCAACAGAAGCTCCAACAGGAGATGAAACAACTTGAGCAACCAGGCCAAAAACATCGACATCAGGAAACAGTAAACAAATCGCAGCAAGAAAGGCTACAATAACACTAGCAACAAAACTGCCTTCAGTAGTGCCAACAAGGAAAGTCACTCCGTAAAAGAAAAGGGGAGGAGTGGCCATATTGCTAAGTGAAGCAATCAAGCATATTGCACTAAAACCAATACAAATTGACTCCCTCCTGGCAGGAAGTGCTGTTGAAGCTGCTGCGTGTAGGGTGGCCTTTGAAGACGTTTTGGCTCGTATGGCGAGGAATTCTGCTTCCGGGTTTTTGTGTGACGAACCGGCTACTGGCTGTTTAGTATACTTCCTCCACTGTTTTCAAGCTAATGCCCAGGTAAGTTTGGGATGTGCTGCATGGTATTGTCTCTTTTTAACTAATTTTTCGAAGTGATTAATGTATATCTGGTTTTCCCAGATTGCGGTGGTCGGGATATCTGCGGCACACATTATTACCGTATCATCATGCGGTTTTCGTTGAACTGACTGTATTCATTGAGGTCAGCGGCATGTCGGATGAGAAGATTTTGTACAGGATTGGCCCCAGTCTACTGCCTTAGAATACTCCAGCTGTAATTGAATACCGTCGCTGCACTTTACTACAAAGCTACGCTCATGCAGGTAAGTCTGAGGTATATTGTAGAAATTCGTCGGTGGTAATTTGATTCACTTGCAGAGCCACTGTGCCAAACTCGGTCAAAGGCTTCAATGTCGATGAAGACGGCTGAGCAGTGCTGGCGCTCCTCGAAGGCTCTCAGAATGAATTGTGATATTCGGGAAAGTTGCTGTTTCGTGATATGTTTACGCCTGAACCCAAACTATTAATTAGGCACGGCTTTGACAAATTCTTCAAGTTCAAAGAGCCGGGCCAGCAGAAGTTTTTTAAACATCTTTGAGAGTCCGCACAGGAGCCTGATGGGTCGGTAGGCGCCGACGTCAGCTGTATTCTTCCCAGGCTAAAATATTTCAGTAGTGTTGAAAATGGAACATTGGCAGGAACTGAGGACTGTAGCAAAAAAAAAATTGCCAGGTAAGCCGGAAATATTTTCTTATTGTTTTAATCCTAGGGACAATTGAAAATACTGTTGACATGTTTACAAAATAGTGACGCACGCAGCCTGTGTGTCTTTCGACTTTCCATTAGATGTTATATGGGTGGAGGCACACTTCCGACACGCAAATTCAAAGTGATGACCTTTTTCTTTTCTTTTATGTTTTTGCTCACACATTTCATTTTGAAAGGCGGCGCCCCGATGTTGTCAGTCCGC